CTTTGGGATTGCAATACAACTTTTTACCAGTAAGAGGTTCAACGAGTGTGAATGTAGCACAAATACAAACCCTTGGGACTCTTGAAGAGTTGCTAGCTTCCTCGTAGTAACATGGCTGAGGCAGAGGGATGGAAAAAAAAGTTATCCGAGCTTTGATTTAGGTAGTCCTGGAAGATTTCCTTAAGGGCGGAGTAAACGGTAATAGAAGTGAAACGAGAAAAGGGAAAAACCATCACAGGAAGTGGTCTGCAGTTGTGGAGGCGCACAGATTAGTGATTGTAATAGAGATTGTAGTGAGACAACAGAATTGTACAGCAGGGTCTTATGTAAGTTTTGTTTTTGTCTCTGAGCTGTGAGAATATTTTAAAGGAGGTAAATGAGAGTGGGTGACATAGAGCTGAATTTGTAAATCTCTTCAGTCATAAGACTGAAATAAACTACCATATAGAGATCTTGCTATGTGAATAGTTGGAATAGAGGTTTCTAACAATTTAAAGCGAGAGCTCCTGGGAAGAAAGGTCTTGTCTGTCCTGTTCACCGAGCCCAATAAATTTGTTTAAAGAGGTCATATGGTATGAGTTCTTGTTTGGTGACTCTGACTCAGTAACCCCGTATGGCTGAGAACAACTGTCACGTAGAGTTGCTGTAATCTTTACTGGAGGCTTAATAACATGTAATTGATCCTGTCCCAAATAAGTTTCTGAATACCTGGTGGAGGAGTAGAATTTTTTTTTAAGTGTGAGCAAAAAAATTCTGCCATCCCATTCGTCATGAAGAAAGAGCTCCCATTTAGGATTGTAGTAGCGAAAACATGAGGCACAGTTGAGCATATGCCATCGACATATGTGTTTCTTAGACAGTCTGTGAAACACAACCTCCTCTCCATCAACTCCTGAAGCAGGTGTGTAGTATGTACATCTTTTTTCCTGTGAACCATTTAAAAAGAGAGAAAGTAGAATTCTGGGAGAAGTCAATTGTTCCATTACACCTGAACACTGCTCATGTATGTTTCCTACAGTTCTGTTGAGTGCATAGTGGGTAAGAAGACAAAGTAGAGATAGGTGATTGGTAATGGTAGGGAAAAATGATAGGTAGTCATACACTTGGCATCTCAGGGACAGATCACATATTCACTCTCCCTCTCATTGCCTTTGAGTGGGGATCAACTGAGCAGACCCATAGCAGAGATTGCCCTTTTTTCTCTCACAGAGTAGCTGATGAGTTTAAATCACCTGCCTTTTGGTTGGCAGTGCAATTCCCTGCTGATTAGGCCACCAGAACTCCCTTAAGAGAGACTAAAATGTACAAGGTGGAAATATTACAAAACTTATTTTTCAAGGTGTCTTCCACATGATGGCACTAGTTAAATGACATTCTCCTAATTTTTTCTTTTCAGTAAAAATGTGTTGGACATTGCATTTATCCTTGATGACATTAAATGAGCAACCTGGCTTGTTTATCTAATATATTTTCTTCTGCTTCCATGATCATAGATCCTAAGAGAGTATGCTCCTTTAACTTTTCCATGAGACTCACAGTGTTTCTATCAAAAAACCATACATGACCATAAGGATTATTTTTGGTTTACAAATGCTGTCTAGGGACCAGTCAGTTGAGACTGTTTAAAATGATTGTTAAATTTGCATTTCAAAGACCACTTAGAACAGCTGCTTCCTCCTAGAGATTATTTTTAGGCTCCACTCCAGACCTGAGTCAGTATTTCTGAGGAGGGCTGTTTTCTAAAATTTTAACAAGCACTGTCTTATTTATCTAGTGTTGCTGTAATAAATATAGAGGATTGATGGCATTAACAACAAATTTATTTTCTCACTCTTAAAGAGGTTGTTGTTAGTTGGCCATTGAATTGAGTATAACACATAGCAACCCAATGAACAGATCTGAACCCTGTCCTATGCTGTGCCATTTTCACAGTTCCTGACATACTAGAGTCCGTTGTGGCAGTCACTATGTCAATCCACCTGGTTGAGGGTGTTCCTCTCCTTTGTAGACCTTCCGCCTTTCCATGCATGATGTCACTCTCCAAGGAACAGCCTGATATATGTGAGGCAAAGCCCTATCATCTTTGCCTCCAAGGAGCACTCTGGCTGGATTTCATAATGCGATGTAGGAAAGACTTCTTCTCTGTCAGCTCAGAGGAAAGTCCTTGTTCTTTGGTTGTTTTGTGATCTCCTGCAGTGTGGCATCGATCTTCCCTCAGCTCTGCTATTTTGCTTAATCGGTTCTTTTATTTCTATCTCAAGAGATTAACTCAAAACACACCCTCCACTAATACTATCTCATTAACCTAACAAATATGTGAAAACTGGACATTGACTATGGAAGAGCAAAGAATCAATGTCATTGTATTGTGTTGGTGGAGAATGTTCAATATACCATGTGCTTCTAAAAATACAAACAAATTATCTTGGAAGAAATGCAACCAGAGTGTTCCTTGAGGTGAGGATAGTGAAGACACAGGAGGGAAGAATTATCAGGAAGGACAAGTCCCTGGAAAAGGACATCATATTTGGAAAAATAGAAGTTCAATGAAAGAGAGGAAGACCGTCGATGAGATGAATTGACTTTGTAGATTCAACATGGATTTAAGCACAGGAGAAATTGTGAGGACACTACAAGGTCTCCTTTTTTTGGACACAAGGTTGTGCTGAGTTGGAGCTGACTCAATGGCACCTAAAAATAACAAAATCTTTACAGAAAAAAACTCACACATCTGTCCCCTGTGAATCAGTGGTGTGTCTGAACGGACCTTTTGTGAAAGTACTTGAATGCTTTAATCACTGTGACACCAATTTTTATTATCTTGAATATCACAGATGTGTCTAAACCAAACCCATTGCCATTAAGTGGAGTCTGACGTGGTGATCCTCTAGGACAGAGTGGACCTGCTTCTAGGATTTCCAAAGCTTCATTCTTTTTTTTAAAAAAAATTTAAATTAATTTTTGTATGTGTACCATCAAATGGTCGACCACTATCATTCAAATATATGCACCAACAACCAGAGCCAAGGAAGAGGAGCTAGAAGATTTTTACCAACTTTTACGATTGGAGATTGATCGAACATGCAATCAAGATGCATTGATAATAATGGGTGACTGGAATGCAAAAGTCGGGAACAGAGAAGAAGATTCAGTAGTTGGAAAACATGGACTCGGTGACAGAAATGGAGCTGGAGAATGATCGAATTTTGCACAATGATTTATTCATAGCAAATACATTTTTAAGAGACATAAACGCAGGTTATATACCTGGATTTCACCTGATGGTATGCGTAGGAATCAGATCGATTACATCTGTGGAAAGAACCACTGGAGAAGCTCAATATCAGCTGTGAAAACTAGGCCAGGAGCTGATTGTGGAACAGACCACCAACTACTCATATGCAAATTCAAGCTGAAGCTGAGGAAAATTAAGCCAAATCCAAGGCAACCAAAATATGACTTAGAGTCTATCCCACCTGAATTTCAGAACCATCTCAGGAACAGGTTTGAGGCTTTGAACACTAATAAGTGAAGGCCAGATGACTTGTGGGACGATATCAAGGGTATCATCCAGGAAGAGTACAAACCGTCATTGCAAAGACAGAAGAGGAAGAAAAGACCAAAATGGATGTCAGAAGATACTCTGAAAATTGCACTGGAGCGCAGAGAAGCCAAAGCACAAGGAAGAATTCAAGATACTAAAGAGTTGAATAGAAGATTTCAAAAGGCAGCACGGGATGATAAAGCAAAATATTACAATGAAATGTGAAACCTCCACCCTTCCAAGCATCATGTCCTTCTCTAAGAAACAGCCCCTCCCAGCAACACGCCCAAACTATGTGAGGTGAAGTCTCATCATTCCTGCCTCCAAAGAACCTATCTGTTCTCTATGACATATGTGTTTGCTCTCTTGGCCATACATCGGATATTCTGTGCTCTTTCCAACACCACAGCTCAAAAGCGTCTGTTCTTTTTCTGTCATCCTTATTCATCTCCAGTTCTCAGATGCATAGCAAGTAATTGGAAAGACCATGGCCTGAATTAGACCTTAGTTCTCAAACTGACATGACACAACCCTGCTTGCTGAAACTGAGGATGATCAGAAGCGCTTGCTGCAGAAGGTCAGTAACTGCAGCCTTCAATGTGGATTGAAACTCAACATCAAGAAAACAAAGATTCTCACCACTGGGCCAGTTGGCAGCATCATTATGGATGGTGAAGAGATTGAGATAATAGTTTTAGTTTGCTTGGCCCCACAGCCAACACTCTTGGTAACAGCAGCTAGCAAATCAAGAGACGAATTGCATTGGGAAAGTCAGTTGTCAGGGACCTCTCCAGAGTTCCTCCAGAAGAATGACGAAATTAGGCACCTAATCTGGGCTATAGTCTTAGCAATTGTGTGCTATGCTGGACTGTGACTATGGATGAAAGAAAGAGAATTGATGCCTTTGAGCTGTGGTGCTGAAGAAGTGTTGAATATACTATGGACTGCTAGAACAGAGTTGTCCTAGAGAGTGTGAAGCCGGAATGCTCCTTTGTTGCAGACCGTGGGTCCCAAAGAATAGAATAATTTTATAATTATTAATAAAGAGACAAACAGCCAGGAATGAGATAGAGCAGAGAGCATAAAACAGAGGGTCAACAGTTCTCGACTGAAGACTCCAAGTCATGTTTCTCTGAGTATTTATTTAGAATCATAAGATAATAAAAGTAAAATCACAAGTACAAAACAAAGGATAATGGTGAAGTCTTTTGCAGATAAGGCCAAGTTCCTCTTTATGTTAATCTCAAGAGGGAGGGGTTCATTTGACACAAACTAGGAACAATGTTAACTCCTAAGGAACGCCCCATTGCCACCAGGTGGCCTTCAGTTTGTATCAAGCTTCCCTCATTTCCCGAAACAGCATTTGGTCTACTATTATTAAATTTGATATACGGCTTCCCATACTCCTTGGAGTCAAGGATTCTGAAGCTTCGTCTGATATACTTTGGGCATGTTGCAGGGAGGGACCAGTCCTTGGGACGTCATGCTTGGGAGAGGGGAGGGACAGCGCAGGAGAGGAAGACCTTTGATGAGTTGGATTGGCACATAACAACCATAACCATAACAACAATAACAAGAAGAACAAGGGATATGCTCTGCCAGGTCTCCGTCTCCTGTCAGCAGGCTCCTTCCCCCACTCCCCCAGTGTTTATGCCACGCCTTAGATTCCTCCAAGAGCTTGACGTTCCCGCCCCTTGCTCCTGGCCATCACCAATAGCGTGAAGTCTCCTCCCCTTGATTCTCGTCACGGCTGCGTTGCCCAATCAGAATGCAGATACACTAAAAAAAAAAAAAAAAAAAAAGAATGCAGATACACTGAACTTCAGGGGCGGGGCCAGCGACAGCTAATCTTGTGCTTCTACGTGCTGCAGAGGCAGTGACAGGCATTTAGAACAGGCTTTAGTTGTGATTCTAGTGCCTTTCTCTGCACACAGCTTCCGGAGCTCCCCACTGCGCAGCGGTTCTGAGAGTCGAGCCTCTGGCCTGGGAGCGTTGGGGCAGCCGCGCGCCACTTCCACCGAGCGCCATGGCTGCGGTCGGGGGGCCGATAACGACCAGACGCTGCCCTCTCCTCAACCTCCTTCTTCTCCTCGCCTTTGGACCTGTGCTGGGCTGGAACCATCCTGGTGAGTGCTCTAGGTTTCTGCGATCACTTCCCGTGTACTGTCCTGCAGCCTTCAGCTAGCACTGAAAGGCCGCTAGGGCGACCATTTCCGTTGGTCGTCCTGAACTGAGCCTCTCTGACCGTATTCTCTTTTCCATCCTCTTCCCTGTCTTCGGTGCCTTGCCTATCTCTTGGCTCTTCCCAGCCTCCTTTTCAGGCTGAGAAGAGACAGAACGGGCGGGGCAGGGCCAAGCGGGACGATTTATGTTCTTAACGTCGTTTTTTCTACTGGAATCGCAGAATCTGACCACTTTCTTTTTCGGGCCACTGTTGTCATCCCGCCTGCGGGCTGAAAAGCTCGTCCCTCACCTACATTGTTGCGACTGACTGATGTCATCATCTCTCCTGTTGCTATGGCTTGGCTGTTGCTATGGCTTGGCTGTTGCCATGCCACCGTCAAGTCTCTTGACACTTCCTAAATCATACTTGGTGGAGAGGGTTAAAATTCTTGGAAACAGTTTTACAGTTGTAGACTGCTTATTTTCGTGAGTGAAACACATGTATGTTTTTCATTTTGCCCATTTCAATGACGTATGGTTACAAGCATTTCATGACACTAAGCTTTCCCATTGCTTTTCACTGTTTACAAGAAGTAAACTTTTTTTTCACCTTAATATTATTTTAGGGATGGTGCAAAATGATTTCTAGGGGAAGAATCCCTTCATATCTATTTCATTAAAATGTGGTCTAAAGAAATTAATATTTAGACTTTTTAATTTAGCAGATGATGCATACTCTTAAATTGAAGGTTATGTAAAAATGATGTCAGCACTTAAAACATATTTTGTTGTGGGAGTGAAAATATTTATGTACCAAAATTACATCTGTGGTCTGATGCTTGAAACGTCCTACAGTTTTGCAGCAACAGATTTATTTGTTTTTTTAGATTTTATTTATTTATTTATTAACATTTTCGTTTGAGGGAAAGGTTAAAGAGCAGATTGGTTTTCCATTTAACTATTTGTGCACGTTTGTTTTATAACAATAATCGTACCCACAATGTCATGAACCTTTCTCCACTTTCTTTCTATTAATTCTCATTTACAGCAATCCTTCTATATACCCCTTTGTTTCATCAGGGCTTTATCCTTGGAAAGGGCTGCTCTTTTGATCCCGTATGGTTGGTTATTCTAAGGAGTAGGTACTTCCCTGGTCACCTTATTGTTGTAGTTAGGTGCCACGTCATCCACTATGGCTTATACAGCCACCTGACGAACAATGAATCTGAACCCTGCTCTATCTTACGCCATCCTCATAATTTCTGATGCACTTGAGCCTGTTGTTACAGTTACTATGTCAGTCCATTTTGTTGAGGGTCTTCCTCTCATTTGCTGCCCTTCCCAAGCATGATAACTTTTTCTAAGGCCTGATCCCTCCTAAGAACATGCCTAAAGCTATGTGAGATAAAGTGTCACTATCTTTGCCTCTAGGAAGTATCCTGGTTGCAAGATGTACAATTTGTAGGTGTGCCTGTTTAGTGACCTAGGTCTGTCTTACTTAGCCCTGGTGGCTGAGTACTAGAAGTAACCAACCAGATAGGATCAAAAAAAAGAAGCATTTGTCCCAGAATAAAGCCCAGAAGTAAAGAAGCAGTAGAATAGAATGATTCGTGGAAATGAGAAGTACAGGGAGGAAGTAGAAAAAGTACAGTTACATGATAGACACTGTGATTAATAGAAGACAAAATGCATACCAGTTGTTGAATGGAAAAATCAGTCTACTCTGTAGACTATCAGTCAGATCACAATTAAATAGATTTGTAAATAAATTGAAGAATATTACAAATGAGAAAAAAGGAAAATCTGAGTTTGATCAAGTACTTACTATTAATTTGTGTTTGCTCTTTCAGACAGAATATTGTTACAGGATGTGAAAGCTCTCACCCTCCATCATGACCGCTATACAACCTCCCGCAGACTGGATCCAATCCCACAATTGAAATGTGTTGGAGGCACTGCTGGATGTGATTCTTATACCCCCAAAGTCATACAGTGTCAGAACAAAGGCTGGGATGGTTATGATGTACAGGTAACGTTAACATTGATGGTAGTCTACATGGGATTTTTATTTAGCAAAGTATCTTTTTTTTTTTTTTTAAATTTAGGTTGTTTATTTTTTCATTTCAATGAACATCTACAGACAGAACATCTATTTTATTTCCAGACAAGTACTTTCTGCAGCCTTTTAAGGAATCAAATCCTTTCATGGGCTTTGGTGGTGGTCATGGGGCAGCACCTGCAGGTCTCAATCTAGGTGGAGGTGTCGGGTCCTTCAGGACTTCACGAGGACGGTTCCTCACCACCTTGCTGTGAATGGCACAGCTCACACAGTAGTGCAGTTTCACATAGAGCTTTGGAAGCACATAGGCGTAGAAAACACTCGCTTCGGAAATGTCCCTGACAGCAGCTGCCTCTACTATACTTCGAATTACGAACTTCTTAATTGCCTTGTCTTTGGGCACGCACTGGGTGCAGTTCGAATAGGCTGCACGTGGCCGCAGCCCTTTTTGGCAGACCGTTGTTTCTCCTTTTCTTCATCATGTTGGAAGTGAGGATCCGAGGATCTTGAGCATTTCTTCATATATTTAGTGGCCATGTGAATATCTTCTTTGGTGAAATATTCTATAAATTTTAGAGAAAAGTCTTTTTGTGAGATTTGTTATTGCCAGATATTTCCCCCCAGTCTCTAGCTTCTTTCTTTCCCCCTTCTTTGTAGAGCTCTTTTGATACATGTAAGGATTTGATTTTTAGAAGGTTAGGATTATGTGAATTTTCCTCTGCTAGTTGTGCATTTTTAGTTATATTTTATAGTCTGCTTATGCCTTAGATTAGGGCTCCTAAGTTTGCCCCAATTTTTTTCTTTTGTGATTTCTACAGTTTTGGTTTTTTTTTTTTTTTAGATTTTAAGCATAGATTTTTGATCCATCTTGAGTTAGTTTTTCTATGTTTTTGTGTAAGGTGTGTTTTATGGGCCTTGATTCGGTTTTCTACGGAGAGAGAAGCAGTTTTGCCAGGATAATTTGTTGAAGAGGCTGTATTACCCCTACTTACTGGATTTTACCTTTGTTAAATAGGTGGTTGGAGTTATTATTGTGTTCTCATTCTATTCCATTAATCTTTGTACCTGCCATTGTTGTACCTTTGATCGCCGTGCTGTGTAGTAAATTTTGAGATCAGGAAACCTAAAGCCTTCTCCATTATTTTCCTCCTTCAGCAGAGCTTTGCTTTTATAGGATCTTTCTTTTTCACATAAAGTTAAGAATGGTTACTTGCATGAAAGCATTTTAGTATGCTTTGTCTTGCAACCCTGGCATTTTATACACAAGACATGGCATTTCCTTGAACATTATTTAGAAGTGATAACTCCATTGCCGTAGAGTCAAATCTTTATCTGGCCGTCTAGCAGGTTTATTGTTGTTAGGTGCACTTGAATTGGCTGTGACTCATAGTGACCTTATGAACAATGAATTTATACCCTACCCTATCCTGTGCCATCCTCATCATCTGTGTAGTATTTGAACCCATTGTGAATAGTCACTATGCCAATCCTTCTGATTGAGGGTCGCTTCTCTTTTGCTGACCTTTCTGGTCATGATGTACTTCCCTTCCCCTCCTTGTGTACTGTCAAATCAGATTTGACTGGCCTCTGTTCTCCAGCGGACCATCTGGTGGATTCAAACATGATGTGCTTTTTCAAGCACTAGCCACTCTTAACAACATGCCACCAAAAGTATGTGAATTGGTTTCCCTGCCTTGAAGGAGCACCCTGGTTGCACCCCTTCCAAGATGTATTGTTTGTCTTTTTGGCAGCCTCTTCTTCAATATTCTCGAATATTCAACATTCTTCTTCAGTACTGCAAATCAAAGGCATTGATGGTTTTTTCCCCCCTCCCCTTTTTGTTCATCCTTATTCACTGTCCATCTTTCTCCTGCATAGCACATAATTGAAAGCATCATGATTTGGATCAGGCTCATCTTAGTCTTTAAACTGGCATTGTTCCTCTCTAACACCTTGGAGAGTTTCCTGACAGCATTTTAAGGGTTTAAGATGGCTGCTCAATAGTCAGAAAACGTGTGTTGACATTATCACCTTCCAGCAGCATGATATTCTTGCTGTGGTAGATTTTGTGGTTGATTTGCTTTATTCCTTTGTTGTGATTTGGGTAAAATTTGTAGAACAAGTTGGTTTTTCATTTAATAATTCATGCACATTTTGTTTTACATCTTTAATTGCAATCCTCAAAGTGTAATAGGACTCTTCCCACATCTTTCTTATCATTCACATTCTTCCTTCTATCCTGTTCCTTTCTGCCCTTTGAGCTTTATCTCTTGGTTTGTCACTGCTCTTTGATCTCATGTGGTTGGTTGGTCTAGAGTGTATGTACCTCCTGGTGTTATTTACCTTTTATAAGCCTGACGGTTGTTTTGTTTATTAATCTTTATTCATGATACAATTTAGAAAAAGATTATGTTCACTGAAGATATTTATCTCACCTTCCCTCCCCTCCCCACAACATGGCTAATTAAATCATAGAATCTTCACATGAGAGTGGAATTCCCACTCCTATTTTATTTTTAAATCAGCTTTGTGATTTTGATAAAAAAAGAATGAAGTAATTTACTAAAAATGTGTGACATTTGTGATATACAAAATTGGATGAATTCAGGAGAAGATAAAAAGTAGATGAATGGGATCTTCTAAGAATTAAATCCCTATGCACATCCAAAAACTTCTCCAACAGGGTAAAAAGGGAAGCCATAGACTGGAAAAAGTATTTGGTAATGACATATCAGATAAGGAACTTATATCCAGAATTTATAAAATACTTGAGCACCACAACAAGATAAAGGTAAATAATCCAATAGAAAAATGGGCACAGGATATGAAGAGACACTTCACCAAAGAAGACATTCAGATGGCTAACAAGCACGTGAAGAAATGTTCAAAATCCCTAGCTCTAAGAGAGGTGCAAATCAAAACAACTGTATCATCTCACCCCAGACAGAATAGCAAAATTTAACAGAACAGCAAGCAACAAATGCTGAGGAGGTTGTGGAGAAACTGGAACCCTTATTCACTGTTGGTGGAGTGTAAAATGGTGCAACTACTGTGGTAGGCAGTATGGCGCTTTCTCAAAAAGTTGCAAATAGAGATACCATTTGACCCAACAATTCCACTACTGGGAATATACCCCAAAGAGACCATAACATCCAAGAAGATATATGCCCACCCATGTTTATCGTGGCTTTGTTCACAATAGCAAAGAGTTGGAAACAACATAAGTGTTCACCAACAAATGAATGGATAGAGAAGCTGTGGTATATTCACACAAGGAATACTATGCTGCATTGAAAAACAAGGACCTCATGCAATATTATTAAAAATGGGTGACTCTGGAGGACACTATGCTGAGTGAAGTATCTCAGTCACAAAAGGGACAAATACTTCATAGTGCCACTGTTGTAAAACAGGACTGACCTTGGGGTTGGGGAGAGACTCTAAGAAAGATGGGTTCAATAATGTATACTGCATTGAAACAGATGAGGGAGAAAACTGTTAAAGGGATATGTGATTGGGTATTTTTGTCATGACAGGAGTCTAGAGCAAAGGCTACATGGTGGAGTGGACCTGGGGGAGGGTTTGTAAAACAATGAAAGATTTTTTCTTTTACTTTTCCAAGAGGGTAGTGTACGAGGAGGGAGGGTTGGCAGGGGAGAAAAGTGCAACAGTGAATGAATGGAAATCCAAAGTCTCTATAAATTTTTACCGAAATTAATAATAAATTTAAATAAAAAAATTAATCCAGCCAAAAAACCCCCCAAAACCCAAAATTAGATGAATCACACCTTGAGGAAATACTTTTCTTCAGAGAAGAGATAAGCACTCAGATTACATTTTTAAAAATTTATTACTGTCATTGTTGATTTTAATGAAAATTTACAGAGACTTTGGATTTCCATTCATTGTTTGTTGCACTTTTTTCCCTGCCCACCCTTCCCCCCCCAGTTTGCTTTTCTATTTGAAAAGTAAAAGAAAAAGTCTTTAATTGTTATATTATCCCTCCCCCCAAGTCCACTCCACTATGCAGCCTTTGGTCTGGACACCTGTCATGATAATAATACCCGATCATATATCCTTTTAAAACAGTTTTCTCCCTCATCTGTTTCAATGCAGTATACATAATTTATTCCGTCTTTCTCAGTCTCCCTCCAACTCCTAGGTCAGTGCAGTTTTACAACAGTGGCACTATGCAGTATTTGTCCTTTTGTGACTGAGATATTTCAGTCAGCATAATGTCCTCCAGTGTCATCCGTTTTGAATAATACTGCATGAGTTCTTTGTTTTTCACTGCAGCATAGTATTCCATTGTGTGAATATCTCTATCCATTCATTTGTTGATGGGCACTTATGTTGTTTCCAATTCTTTGCTATTGTGAACAAAGCTGCAATCAACATGGGTGTGCATATATCTGCTTGGGTGGCAGTTAATGGTTGATTTGGGAGGATACTTTTTTAAGGATCAGAAAAATATAAAATGTTCAGTTGAGATGAAGAAAACTTAAAGGAGAAAGTATGCTGTGTCTGGAGAGGCATGTGAGAGATTTAAGAGGTGACAAGATAGCGAGGAAAATAACATTGACAAAGAAGTGTAGAACTTGTCATACACTGGTTTATCATTTCAAAAGAACCTCTTCTAATTCCAAGAATTTGAATAATTGAGTGGAAATACAAGCACTGTTAAAGACTACCAGCTGCTCCTCTGGAGAAAAATGGACAGCTTCCTCCCGTGTGATTTAACTGCCTCTGAAAACCCACTGGGAGGCCAACTACAGTCCATTCGAACTCTATGGTACGCAGTAGCATAGTGTTAGTAGCCATTTCTGGTTTGCATTACTAAAGAAATGGTAGTATTTTTAGTCAAAGGTTACATAGCAAATTTTTATTTCTAAGTTATTTATTCCATGAGACTGGTCCCACTTTACATAGTGTGTTGACTTTCTTATTTTTGTTTTTGCTGTTTCATTTCCACGAATCTAGTTTGTTTGCCCCCTTGCTTTTTCATCTTTGTTTTAGAGTGACTATTTACTTTTGGACACATACATGATTTTTTTAAAAGAAGCACACTACTTGTGGTAGTGCTATTGTGTATTTCATGAGCCACCCTTATTTTTAGCTAAAGGAAGACTCATTTTTGGTTTTGGTTTTGGTTTTGGTTCAAGGTTTATAGAATATCTTCTGGCATTAGTTAATTTCAGGGAGTCCTCTAGTTCAACACCACCACTACCACCACCACATTCATTGTCCAACTTTCAGATACATATGAAGCAATGGAAAATGTCATAGCTTGCATCAGGTGCACCTTACTCTTTAAACTGTTATCTTTGCTCTTTGATATTTTAGAGATCCTTGCCAGCAGATCCATGCAAAGTGTCTTGATTTCTTGACTGCTGTTATTTATCTTGGGTTTTGATTGTGGATTCAAGTGAAATGAGATCCTTGATGACTTTAGTTTTCTTCATCTGTAATGGTGGTGTTACCTTTTAGATCAGTTGTGAAGATTTACATAAAATATATGTTAAATGCAAAAAACCAAACAAACATTTAGTCCCAATAAACTCTTTCTTTCTCTCCCTCCCCCCCTCCTTCCCGCCCCCCTCTCTCTATCTCTCTGAAATGCTATGACATGCTGGAAGACCCAGCAAGCACCTGGCATCAAATTATGCCACCCTATGATTAACACCTACT